TTAGGGATGGGGAGGTGATGTGGTCGGACATTAGTATTGTACGGTTTTGAGAAAATAAAGTTTATCGACACTTCGAAGAGTGAGGTCACTACCCATTGTATATATAAATACATGTGTAATAATATACTATAATACTATTTGTACATTTACATAATACATAAATGTATGTGTAAATATTCTGTACATGAACAAACCAACGATTATATTGAATAGCCCAAAAATCTGTAATGTTTTAAAGTGTTATCATTATTATCATCATTATTATCGTCATTATTATTATCAACATTGCGTTGGGGAGTCTCAGCTGTAGCAAGATCACAGATAACTCACGTTTCGGCCCCTGTCTCTGTGTACTCCTTGAAGATAATTTTCTGTCCGCAATAAGTGTTGTAGTGAGGGATGCCAGATTCGTAGAAGATGAGGTCCCCTGAGTCTGGGTAGGGGAGGGGGGGGGTGAGATAAATAGCTATGGTTAAAAGCAAGTATTCTTTGAGGGTTATCGTGGACGAGACGTTACGGTGTTCGCCTCTCATTCAATAGGTCCCGGGTTCGAATCCGGGAAGCGACGGAAATCAAACTTCTTAAAAATGTTCTCCTTTCACCTCCTTTCCTGCTTTCTGACAATGATCTGTCGTCTGTTTTCGTCTCCACTTTCTACCCCCACGCCCTCACCTCATTTGGCCCCTCTTCTGGGCTCTCGACTCCTTCTGCAGCCTTTCTACTTTTTCTCATAGGCCCCTTCTCACTGCTGTCTTTCAGATCTTATGGTAGGTTAGAATTAACACCTAGCCTTCTCGGGTAAGGGGGAAAAATCTCGGATGTCCCGTGTGCAAGTTCCGCATGTTAAAGATCCCTTGATTGTCCAAAACCGATAAGAGTGGGCTTCGGCCGCCACTCGTGTAAAAATTTTAAAAATTCCTACAAATTGAGAAAATTTAATGTGTCCTGTGCGTTAATGTGACATTATGCAGTTTCCAGTACCGTTAAAAACTTAACCAAAAATATATATTCTCCAGGGATCACCACAAGGAGGGAGACGGAGAGGCAAACAGACAGAGATAACGTTGGGAAGACAACATCAAAGAGTAGCCTGGCAATGATTGGAACATTGTAGTTTAATTACTTTTTCTTCTCCTGGCCTCTATTAACTTGAGGTGTCGAGGGGAGAAGCAAATGTCTTTCTCTTGTTTGTGTGTTGTCTTTTGCATTTTCACATAGTTTTTGTTTAATGTTCATCTCACCTCCGATCTTCATCTTTCCCTGGGCCTTCCTTTTTCTCTGTATCTATCAGATCTTTGTTTGTATGCTCTCGCTACTATACTGTCTGGTGGTAGTACTGACTCATGTCTAAACTATTTTATGCGTTGTTTATCTGTGTACTCAAGGCAGGGAGTGGGACTATATTGCTAGTTTCTTTCCTTGACTCTTATAGTGATGTTTAAAGTTAATTTTAGGCATTTCAGTTTACAGGCGTTTATTTTACTTTGGTGGCTCTTGTTTAGTGTCTTGTCTGGGCCTTTTGTATAAATATGCAGTAAATGAAATGACACCATGTTTTCCTTGTCTACATTTTAGTCTTGGGTGAACATCAATGCTTTCTGTATAAACAGGCCAGTCAACCAACCTTATGGATAAGAGTTGATGGACCGATGGCAAGTGACCAGAAAGTGATGCCTGTGGCCTAGTAGTTAAGGGCTGCTCAAATATAATCCTACACTTTTTGGGGGACTTTTTGACCCCTCCCCCCCCTTCTTACACTTTTTTTTAACATTTACCCCCCCTCCCCCTTTTCCATATCTTGTAACATTACATTGTTCGTTTATAATAATATGACATTTATATCGAGCAAATCCGTGCTACAACCATTTTTCTATGAGCTTTACACAATATTCATGAAAAACATGCATACACACATATGCACACAATAATATGCAGTTCTACATTCACTTAAAAAAAACATAACTGAATAAATCATTCAAGCAAAATATTGCAAACACTCTTTCTTAGTAATAAGGAAAAAAATTGGGACTCATGTCAATTTCAAATGCGCCTTAATTACAAACAGTGGAATTCTGATAAATAAAGTCAACATCTCGAGACTGAAAAACATTGTTGACTTTGAGCAAGGTTGACTTTATCCATTGTATTACTGGCCATTGAAAATAGAAGCTGACAGCTACAAAATTACAAAAATACCTGGTAACCTGATGTAAGCTCAATTTCAGTGAGTATGATTCTGAAGTTGTCATAAAAAAGAGATAATGAGTGAACAAAGTAATTGGAGGTGTGTACACCACTAGCTCAAGCCCTGCATATCTCTTCTTAAATTGAATTCTTTTAGGGAGTTAGCCCCAAACTAATGACTTTACGCGAGGGTAACACTCAAGCGGTTGACTGTATCAGAAATACAATTACTTAATTAAGCAAAAGAAGGTAGGAAACGGGACCACAGTGAGGTGTTGACAGCAAGCAAGAGTTGACTTTAAACAAGTTGACTTTATCAGGATTCCACTATATCTCTGTTATTACTGATTATTATGCTTAAAACAAAAAGTGAAATTAGTTATCATTAACAAAGGTAGTGTTCGTTGTGTTCATCATTGTGTCAAAAATTTTTTTTAAACAGGGGCATCTGCTGAGCTGTCTTCCAAATCTGGGTCCTATTCCTGCTCTTTCGCCTCTTCCTCCTCTTCTTTCTTTCTCTTCTTCCTCCATCCTCATTCCCACCCCCATTTCCTCCCCGGTCCTGTGTAAAAGCCCTATGCCTCTTCAATGCTGCAATACTTGGGAAATATTTTCCACATCCGGCCTCTGCACACTCTTTGGCCTATGCAGTTTTTCTTGACCAAGGCCACCCCTTTATTTCTTCTTATTTTTTCAACTCACAAAAGTGAGTACATTGGTACAAGAACCCCCCCCCCCTTTTTTTTCTTACACTTTTCTTACAGGAGCCAAAGAACTCCCCCCCCCCCCTGCTTTCAGGTGTAAGATCATATTTGAACAGCCCCTTAGGCTACCGGGCTCGTAATCGTGAGGTTGCGTGTTCGAGGCTTCGAGCCTCAGCTCGGTCCGACGTTGTGTCCTTGGGAAAGGCAGTTTACAAGAATTTCCCACTTGGCTCGGTCGTTTCGGAGATAGACCTTAAACTCGCAGGTCCCGCCTTTTAAATAACCTAACAATGTTGATAGGGGCGTTATACCAACACCATTGCTCAATTTAAGTGACCATGAGAGTAACGATGTGCTATGTTACCATGTTTACGATGTGCATGGCGGATTGTATTGGGCTCGTTCTGTTTGGATAATATTATTCTTAATTCAATCGTATTTTGTGATCAAAATGTAGCTTTTTAAAGAGCATCCGAGCAAAGGGGTAAATGGAGAACCATGATCTCCAATATTTATTATTATTATTATTATTATTATTATTATTATTGTTATTATTATTATTATCATTATTATTATTATTATTTTTATTATTACTAGTAAAAGTACCCGTTCTACGAACGGAATAATAATGAAGAAGTATTAGAAAAGTTAAGAAGAGGAAAAAGATTGAAAACAGGAAAGAAACAAAACATAAATAATTATTTTACCTTGAATTTATCCATGTAGCACCCCCTCTTGACTACCCTTAGGGGTAAGACTTCTTCCAACTCTTCGAAGGCGTGGCAATTTCTCCTAAAGTTCCAGCTCAATCAATTTTAAAAAAGAAAGAGTTAGGCCTACTTGCCAATTGTTGCTTCCTAGAAGAACCTAATCTAGATTCTTCAAAGACTCCGATAAACGACACGACATGTGGGTTTCTTTCCAGACAACAGACAGACTTTCAGTTGCTAATGTCATGGGAAACATGGGAATGTATATGACCTATTTGTGTTGCAAGTACCCTGAGCCTCTCACTGAAAATTAACTAAACCATCAATTCTCACCCTCGTTCATGTAGCTGATCCTGAAAGCTGTGGGCATTCTTGTCCAGTCCAAATGGCTACCCTTGTCTATATTGCCCCATGTCAAGTAGAGGGACGTGCTGCCCTTAGTGACAAGGAACTCGACGATTGGAGCCTCTGTGGCTTTATGGGCTGGGGACGTAAACCAAACACATGTTGTTGTTTTTTTCAATTTGGGGGGATGTTTTCTTGTTTGTGATTTGTTTGTTTTATTCAGCACACTGACACCCCCCTCTCCCCCAAAAAGATTAAATATTTAAATAAATAAATACTGAATAATAATATAATAAAAACAACTAACTAAATAAATAAATGAATAAATAAATAAACAAATACACAAAATAAAAAATCCCAACAAAAACAGCCAAAAAGAAGGAATACAGAATGACGGTTGAAAGAACGGTATTGCCCGAATCCCCACACGTTAAAATTTAGCAATTCATTGTAGTGAAATCAGACCATTGTCGAAATGATGAATTCAAAGAAACTGACATTTTTTCGCCCATTTGGCATTTTTTAATCGAATTTTTTTTTTTTTTTTTGGCTCAACACATTATTTTCTGTCTATACAAAGACACACTCTTGTATGGATTTTACTGAAAAACTGGATTAGAGGTGATGGGATGAGGGGAATTTCATTTGCAGTTTTCTTGGACTCTCAAGCTTTTGAAATCACCAAACTTTGGGTCCACTTTCTCCCTTAGTTTACCTCTGAAACCATACGACCCCCACCTGCCTCAATAGCACATATCTCGACATCTATTCAACACAGATGAGTGTTTTTTTCATTTTAAAAATACAATCGAGGTGGTTTTAAGAAGCTACCAATAACTCCCATATGCCCAAATATTGATGAGACCTGATTCCACCGCGTTGTGGCACATTTTAATATTTTGGGGTGGCTTTTTGTTCCTTTAACTCAGTACATTGCCAAAGAAAACGAAGTGGTGGTTGAAACAACAGTATTTCCCGAATCCCCATCCGTTAAAAGTAGCGATTCATCGTGATGAAATCAGGCGCTTGTCAAAATGATGGAATCAAAGAAACCGACTTTTTTTTCGCCCATTCGGCATTTTTGTTTTGGGCTCAAAACCTTAAATTTAGCACATAAAAACACATTCCTGCATAGATTATTACTGAAATGAGTTGATCAAAGGCGCACACACACGATGTAAATGTGTAGTTTCCACGTACACTTTAGCTTTGGAAGTTACCATTTTCTAACTTACTCTACTTCTAGTATCAGGTGACGGACGCCTCCTACTTTAACCGAAAATAATAATCTCTTCTTCTATTCAAGATAGGTGGGTGTTTTTCATCAAAAGCAAGAGAAATAAACAAGCTTTAAGATAATACCAATATCTCCATATGTCTATAAATTGTCACGCGAAAATTGTATCGTCTCTGTGAGAAATTTTTCTCAGCTTATCGGGCTTAGAAAAAAACAGCAAACATCTCATGAAGATATATATAAGAGTAAACAGATATATATATATATATATATACTTGGATACAATATATATTGATGCTCAATTCGACTGCAGCCTTGACGCAGTTGTTGGGAAACTTTTTTTGTATCTTTGTTCATTGGTTTATAGTCATTTATGTATATTGCCTCAGCGTGATCTTAACATTTGTGAGGATAGGAGGTGTGATGAGTCGTTTAAAATGTGTGAGGCAGCGTGGTGGAATCAGGCTCTCGTCAGTTTTTGGGCATGTAGAGCTATTTGTATCATCTTAAAGCTTGTTCACTTGTCTTCATTTCGATGAAAAAAATATCCCTTTATCTTGAATACAAGTCAAGATAATTGCGAATGAAGGAGGTGGGGTCATCTGTTATCAGAGGTAAAATTAGTGAGAAAATGGCCGCCAAAGATTAGTTATTTCCTTAGATTACGAGTCCGTGGTAACTGAAAATTTACATTTTGTGTGCCTTTCATCAACGTTTTTTCAGAAAAATCCTCACAGAAATGAGTTCTTTAATGGACATGAAAGGTGTTGAACGAAAAAAACAAAATTTTGATAAAAATTCATAAACCTGCGGAAAATGCAAGTTTCTTCTCTTTGATTATTTTGACGAGAGCCTGATACCACCACGTTGCCTCACAAATGTTAAAACACTGCCGCTACTCACAGGAACATGACCGTCCATCGTTGAGCAAAATGTCATGATATGAAGTGCACACGCAGGTAACGTAATCGTCGTGGGTGAGCGCACACTTGTCTTCACAGAGAGAGCATTGCTCGGTATCTGAAAAAAAAAAAAACGTTCGGATAGGTGAGACTGCAAGGAAATTGAAGGGAGGGGGGGAGGGGGCAGACCAGAGTGGGAGTAGGGGTATTCACACACACACACAAACACACACACACACACACACACACACACACACAAA